TTCCGATATTATCTACACCATCTCCCTTTTGGTCAATCATCCAAGTCTTCTCTTCATCATAGTTCCTTATTAGATTAGAAACCCATCACAGTTTAGTTGTAGGTCAGCCATCTAGCGCTGATATTAGCGCTGATCAATTATACCACACCCTTTCTCATTCGGCTGAAAAACAGCGCGCTTTCGCCATGGTTTCGACCGTCTTTTGGAATCCCATGGGATCCCTGGCTTCCCAAGTTTCGACTCCTCCAAGTCCACCCTGGTCTTCAGTGCTGCCACGGTTTCAGCCGCGAAGACCTTCTGATTTGCAGCACGCAGCCTGCTGATTTGGCAAGGGCTGGTTGGAGTTTCAACCTCAAAAAGATCAGTCAGGATCATCCCAGGAAGATTGAATGTTAAAGAATAAACATATTTGAAACCACCAAATAATGGTTTGTTTCTTGGCTGACGTTTCTTTTCGTAGGTCATGAGTTTGGGATAGTCTGGGTGTGTTTCAAGGTCAGCACTGAATTGGAAACCGGGTGCTGCCCCTGACCCCGCCTTTCGTTCAGAGCTGCTGACCCCTTGGGAAGTCGGCACAAACCCGCCGTCACAATAGGTAGGAATGTTGGCAACAAAAAAAATCACCCAAATGAGCATTTGACATAATATCATAATTATCATTTGGGGTGATGGATGTGGGGATTATCATAGTTATCATAATTATCATAATTATCATAACCGAGTTCCGAGAGTTTTTGAATTTAGGGATGTACCCTCCAGTACACTAACATAGCTATGGAAAATGGATCATTTATATAATATTTATATATAGGTGGTTGATTTACCTATTAAACTAGTGAATTTTGATGATTTGTCCATACCATTTCACCATGAAACTTGCCCCAACAGCCATCAACCTTGGCCACCCCAACCGTGGCCCGCAAGGCGTCGCGCAGTTCAGCAAAGCCTGTGACCTGTCATCATTCTACCGAGCCATCAAAAATCAACGGGGTTATCAAGCTTTATTATGATTTATCATGGTTTATCATGGTTTAATAGGGTTGTGTTATCAAAGTTTGTCAAGGTCTATCATGGTTTATCAAGGTTTGTCATGGTTCATCAGTTTGTGATGACTTTAACGTATCTTTTAAGGGTTCAATCTTGAGGCTATTCCATGGTATTCACCATTAAATCCCATCAAAAACATACAGATCCCGCTGTGTTCCATCCCATCTTCCAATAAAAATAGCGGGTCAGTCCTATATTCCCTGACCCATTAGATCATCCCATTGATCAACTATCCCATTAATCATCCCATAGATCATTCCCATGATATTTTTGCTATATTATCATTAGATCATCCCATATATGCCATATACCCCATACCCTCTACAACAAGCTTATGAAAATCACCATCTTTAAGACCGGTAAATCAACTATTTCTATGTGCCATTTTCTTCTAGCCATTTCTAAACAATAACAATATCATATTATGATGTTATCATGGATAATATATCACCATCTTTAATAGGAATATTAACCATTACCATGATAAATTTAGATGGTGATAAAATATTTAATGATGGTAATGACTAACATTTAAAGATAGTGATAATATTAACCATTACCATTATATTACCCATTTTAAATGTGAGTCATTACCAGTTCGGCTATCCATCCACATCAGATCCATCAGATCCATCCGCTCTTCTGCGCGGCCTGAGCCTTCAGCAGTTTCTCCACCACGTTTGTCAGATCTTTCTCTGTCCAGCTGGGTTTGGCCGCCTCTAATAGGAAAGATTCTGGGTGAATTATAATATGTCACTAACCTGAATTAAGGCCATTTGGGGATGATTTCCCTTGTTAACTATGATTCCAGTGAGGTCGCAGTGAGGTCGTTATAATTTACCCAGAAAGATGCACGGATCTTTGGGGGATAGAAATAGCTGATGATTGGACAATTAAAGGACAATTTTACAGGAGAATTTGATGACAGTTTTATAGTTTTAGGCCAATTAGATGAACATTAGAGGACAATTAGAGGACAAGAATAGGTGATTATGATGATTATGCGCAAGAAAGAATATTGCAGAAAATAGATGGTATGGTATAAGAATATGGGTGTCAATGATATGAGACATGGTTATGTGTACACCACCATCGCCAAAAGGTAGAGAGTGATCATGCAAATGATTGGTGACAATGAATTTTAGCAAATTATTCTGGCATGTCATGAGAAGGTTTCAGCTTTGCAATGCATACTTTTAACTTCTCAGATGTCACTAACAAATAAGTCCTAAGGTGGAAGATCAAACATATATATATATATATATATATACATTATAATTATGATAATATGTTCGTGTTATTCTACATATTACAATATGATATAGATACATCTTAACACGCAGAAACAGGAGGAAAACAGCACAAATGGACATCTTCGCCTTCAACACATCTCGCAGCTTCGGTGCTGGACGTGCCACACCTTGCCAGCGATAAAAAATCACCGTGGGTTTCAATACTCAAACAGTATGAAATAGTCGGATTTTGGGATGATTTTTGGAAACCCAGATTTGGGAATACACTCTGGAATAGTGTATACAGTAATTCATTTCAATCAAAAAAACTGATTTTGGATGATCTTGAGGTACCCCAATTTTCGATGTCCATCTATTTCCATGTATTTCCATTATTTCCCATACCGTTGTCAGGCAAGACCTTACTCTCCGGGTGTTCACATCTACTTCGAGGGTGCTTGGTGTGAAGCACTGCCATCATTTGCACACAAACACAATACTCTTCTGGATGAGACAGGGCCACGATGATAAGATACCTTACTTTATTCTGATATATTTCAGGGTGTCAATGCGTGAAAAACGATCACTGGGAACAAAAGGGTATGTCAACTTGGTATCTTCAGTTGAGTTTAGTAGAAAATGGGGTAACCCCCATTCCGAATATCATCATATTCTTCATTCAATGGCCATTTGACGATGGTATACCCCAAATTCAGACACAGTCAGGTCACTGGACCCACAGCGCACCAAGTTCCAAACGTTGCACCGCAGCAGGCACCGCAGCTTTTGGCGCCGCCACGGCTTTCGGTGCAGGTGTCACAGCGGCAGGTGTCGAAGCCTCCCAAAAAACACCGACATTCTGTGGGAATCTGGCGATTTCCAAATCGTTTACCTTGAACATGGACGAACAAGGATATTTTTCAGTGTTATCTAGAGATGCCGGAAGGTACCAGCAGGGCTGCAACGAAGTTTGGAACAGCTTTGGGGTTAAATTTAAGGTGTAGAGGCCTTCATATCTGTTACCCGCAATTTTGTATTGTAATTACTCATAATGTCTCATAGTTATAATGGTTAATTAAACGTATCAAGCCAGAAACAGCCAGTGTCATTGAGGGCATAACCTCACAAGCCCTTTCCATATCTTCAGCCCGTACCAGTGCAAAGTCCGCCGCCTTTGCCGTTGCCACTGTTGGCACTGTGGGCGCTGTTGGCGCAGGGGCAGCGAAACCTGTGGCGGGTGAGAACTTTTACGGGTTTGGAGGGCTAGATTGAAGGTGATTACACACCAGAAAACCCCACCTGAATTGCCAAATGTGGCAGGAGTGTGGCAGAAAACTGATCTTCCAAGATCTTCCATGGGGTGTCCATGCGAATTTCGAAGGGTGAATTCATCTTGAGGATGGCACTGGCACTGGGCCCATTGGGTTGTGTCACCAGCTCCAAGTTTCTCGCCTGGAAGTTTGGTCCAGAAAGGGGGGAACAGAATAAACGAAGTTTGTTTTTCTCCATGGTTTCCATCTTTGATTGAGAACATACCTGATTTCTCACCTCATTTTTGATGGTGATATATCCAAGTTTGAAGGATAAGACCTTCATTTGTCTTTCACAGCTGGAGGAACATCCTGGCTGATCTGCATGACATCCTACTGGCATCCTGTTGGTGAAACATGTCAGTCTTTGGTGCTGTAAATTTCCAAGATGTCAAAGCAGTCTCTAAGGCAATAATATGGCACCACCTATACAAGTATCAAAACCAGAACATGTATGTATATATATATTATTATATATTATGTATAAGTATATATACATGTATTTCAATAGAAGATAGATACGACGTACAATATCATTTTCAAAGCCCATCTCTATTTGTTGTGACCCACAGCCCACACCTTCATCAGCTTGTCTTGGTCTCCTTCTTCACCATCCTCCAGGCGGACATGGTACCTCCAAGCAGTGGCCTAAAAGGGAGATAGAATGATAGGAGGATATATTGAAATACACAATACACATGTGTGATGGTATGAATCCAGTCTCTCCTCTATCCAATCTGATCTATGATCTAATCATATCCAATCAATCTTCTAGCTATGGATTTAGAATCACAGCACTCATGCATGGTATATACTTACAATTGCCACCACCCCAAAAAGGAATAAAAAAGGTTGGTATGCAAACTTGGACCTAGCACCGAGCACCCATCTATTTTCAGCTAGACCTGCAGGGCGGCGGAGGACCAACACATGGTCCTCACACCGTGGTCCACCACCACCAATGTTTCCGTTTCAGCCTCCAATCCGACTGCCAACTTTCGCATTTTTCCTCGTCAGAGTCCTTCTCCCACGTGTAATCCTCCTCGTTCCAAGACCAGTTCTGATACCAATTCCACTGAGACCAATTCCACTGCTCTTCCCATGGAAGTTGGGCAGCTTCATCATCTTCATCTTCGCTCTCGAACTCAAGATCTTCCTCAGTATCGTTTCCACGAAATCAACACTGGGTCAGATTCCCAAAGGAATGGTCCCTCTAAAGCCCTGTTCAACAGAGTTATAACAAGTCAACAAGTCTAAGTTTTTGTTAGATCCTAAATTCCATAAATTTCCATAACATGTCAACAAAGTTCAACTTCCATAAGTCAACCAGTTGGAAGTTCCAGTTGCAGTCTTTAAGATCCATCCAGTGCCATTCCCTGAGGTCAACCAACTCACATCAGTCGGGATGCTTCCTCCACTGGCGTCAAGGGGAAGCCAAAGGGCCATGGAGCCTCCGACATCAACCCAGACGTCCTGGACCTTAGCTCCGGCGTCCTGGACCTCCGTGAATGTCAGTTGTTGGAGGTCCAACAAAAACATCAAAAACCCAGGTGATTTATGGTTATTTGATGTTATTTGGGTCATGAAATTCTTTTGGTTTACCAATTAATCACCAAAATTTGAGATCCACTTAATTATCAATTACTCATAATTACTCCAATTAATCACCCAAAATCTTGTTGGTTTACCAAGTAAGTACCTTTTTAACTGGTCATGACATTGATCAACTTATTCAAGGTCAAGGTGTTCAGGGTGGCCTTCCCCAAAATCTACCATCGACATTTTCCGGGTCGAGATAATGGACCCAAGACCAACAGCCCGGCGCTTTGGTATCTGCTTGGTGGTTGACCTACCCCTCTGAAAAATATACCTTCGTCAGTTGGGATGATGACATTCCCAATATATGGAAAAATAATCCAAACCAAACCACCAACCAGGTATGATTTCAACTTCTAGTTTCAGTATCAGTTTTTTTGTTTCATTTAAAAACTTCTGGTTTCATATCATTCATATCACATACCAACACTGCGGCAAGGCGCCCTGGGGGCTGGATCAGCAACACTCCCAGCTCACGATTGCTGCTTGACAGAACTTCCAGAGTATCGTCGGTCTCTGGCCTACTGGCCGTAGGGTAACTCTCAAACGCGGTAATTCCAACATGATTTAACCATGAACGTTGTGAGTTACTGGATTTACCATCCCACCAACTAATATAGACACCGTGCAATAGAGGCTTGGAAGACCGGAAGAAAACGTTTCTCTTGTGATGGGCTATTCTCAGGGTCTATGCTGGTAGTGTGTTGTCCGTCCCAAAACCATAGAGATTGGATGATGTTTTGCGAGTACTCGACCATGGTGTGCAAAAATTCCCCTTTCATAGATGATTTTCCCATTACAGATAGCCATGCTTGATATCTTGATGACACCGGAGGGTACCTTTCATGCCTCGCCTCCAAATCGAGCCCCAAGCAGATTTCGTGAAGTTGTGGGAACCGACATAGATCCAGCCGCATCTTTGACCCGCTTCATCGCAACACACGCGACAAAGGAGCTTGCCTTAGTTGAGTCGTACCCTGGGATACCCTGGGATACCCTGAAAAACGCTCAACTGGTGGAGATACGGAACAACTTGTCACCGCTTGGGAACATGTCAAGAAATTAAACAGATTCTGCCTTTAATCACATTAAAACTCCGTCAAAAACCTCTCGCCCCGAATACAATCAACAATTATAATCGCTTCTTGCCAACAGTGCAGCTTCGAACACCCCAATCCATCCCCAGAAATTTACAACCCAACTATCACCAGTTATATATTCCAAATATAAATCACCATTATGGCTGGTTAAATCCCATTAGTATCCCATTAATATCCCACTATAAACCCTTTAATATAGCACTATAAACCCATTAATATCCCATTTTATATCCCAACATTATCCAACTATAAACACAGCATAACCTATAGTTAAATCCCTTTTAAAATCCCATGAACTCCCAAACCCCGGTTGAGATGCTGAAAAACCCAGCCGCCATGGTTGAGAATCTTCTGCCGTCCCGGCACCTCTTGGGGACTGCGATGCTCCAGCAGTTTCCCCGGCATCGACTGGTGGATCCACCTGTACTCGATGGGAAGCCGCGAACGATGCCGGGGCACCACCAGCTGAGGACCTGCGAAGGCGATCTCTGGGGTCACATCAGGGCATTGTGTATTGTCATCCTAAACATTATACAATAAAAATATATTAAAAACAATAAAACATCGTAAAATATCTTAACATCATTTAACACCATCCATGTTTGGTGGCTTAGTTTTTAAAAATCACATTCAGGACCCATTTTCTCAGGGAAAAAACACAACGAGAACACCGCCTGGATCTTCCGAAACCAGCCGTCCGCAGCAGCGATCCACGTCGCGGAGCCACCACTCTGGCAGCGTGGCGATGGACCCGGAGAGCGTCACAAAGTGCTCCTCCCAGGGCCAGATCTCGTGGCTCAGATGATGCCTCCTGAGGTCACCGGAAAGCACCCGGAAGCGGAACGATGGCAATGTGGGACATGACCTATAGAGGTTTCATGGGAAAAAATGGCGATAAATCTATGAATATCTGGAATTTGGGGATTTTCCATGATTTTCCAGCAAGCCATGTGTGATTATTTTATTACAGAAAGGTATGGAGAATGGACAGAAATCCTTGAGAGGAACAACAGGGATCTAAAGAATTCCATGGATAGAGTATGCACAGAACACCCTGGGAGTTTGGAGTTAGCTAAACAACAGTCAAATAAGATCAAATAAGTGTTTAGTAGAGACCCTCACGTCCTTGATTTTGTAGCTGAAATTCGCACAAGGATCCTAAAATCCTGATTCAACTCACAAGAACTGCCTATTGCATCCTATTGTGACAAAAAGAATTAATGGTCTTGCATGAAGCAAGACCAAGATCTGCGGCAGAAGCTTGACCTTTACACCCAAAGTGGTGGGAACGATTCAATAAGTTCCCACTTCGCTCCAGCACGGACAAAAAACGTCTTGGTCTTGAGGCATTGAAAAAGCAACAAGAAACTTGACACATCTTGGCACCAAATTCAACGTGGGTGCCATAAGAAGTTGAAAAGAATGCAATCTCCGCCAGGGTTCAATGCAAATAGGCCATAATCCACTTCCACCAAAGCCAACAAATCGGCCAGCCTCATCCAATCCTCATTGGTCAACTGCAACATATTAAGTTCTGTATCTTCCGCAATTTTCAGAAGCACTCGAAGGCTTGTAATAGGTTTCGATTCTTCATCGTTGACGGAAACCTTTGTTCTTTCGACATCGATCTCAGCGGCTGACAAAGACACCTCCATTTCTCCATGATAAGCCTTGAAATTGAGATCTTCAGCAGCTCTTAGGGCACTGGAAGACATCTCATCCAACTGTCCTAACACCAGTTGCTCCTGGCTTTCAAGAGACCACTTCCATCTTGAGGAATCCTCAGTTGGTCTCCTCTTCAATAGAACCTGCAGATTTTCAGTTTCCAATCCCTCCACTTCCATCTCCAAGGACAGCCTTAGCACCAGCTGGTTCCCTTGCCGGGCCCGGGCTGGGAGATGTTCCCCCGGCAGAGACAATACCAACCTGGCTCCATCGCAGGTCAAATCGAAGCACAGGCTGCGGGAGAGCCAGGCCTCTAAGCGATTCAAGGGGCACTTCTGAAGGATCTGAACCAGGAAATGCGAGAAAACGCTACCTGGGACAACATGGAGCTGAGAGCCAACAAAAAACATCCAAAGGGAATTCAGATTGCAAACAGGTTGATAGAAACGGCCTCGAAATGGCGAAGTAGGATTCTGGGTCGACCAATCTTGGTGTCAAGATCTCCATTTTCCCTCCCAAACCACTATTTCTGATCCATAGACTAAGAACGTTTGCTAAATGCCAAAGCCAGCAACCAAATTCCGATGCCAATACTCGTTGCAGCGGCTTGGCTCCAGTGGCCCTGGGAAAGTCTTTGACCCAAACGACCTCGTTGTTCACCTTGGGGTCAAGTCTTGCAACTTTTATTGTTCATCACTTTAGCAAAGATTAGCATCCTTATTATGGTAGTATACTTATTGTTGCTGCTAAAATCCCAGTTTGTCCGGTGGTAGAATCACGTGCAGTTTCCATTTTTAAGACAAGTTTTTCCTGGTCGAATTCAAACTTTGGTCAGCAAATTCCCCATATGTGTGAGTCAATTTCAAATTTCATAGATATTTTTTTGTTTTTCTGGGATGATTTTGGGTCCATCCCCACCTCCCAGAAACGTCGTGGCATGTTCGCACTGGTGATCACCATCCGCAGGCGATCTGGGAACTCCAGTAGCATCAGCTTGGCGTGGACACTGGTCACCTGGGTTTCCAGCCAATCTACCAGACGTCTGGTGGGAAAATATGTGACATACCCTCTGGTTATGTCAAAATAGCTATTGAAAATGGTGATTTATAGTGGATTTTCCCATTGAACATGGTGATTTTCCATAGCTAATTATGTTAGTTTACCAGAGGGTATCCGTGGCTTTTTGGATCCCCTTTGCCACCAAAAAATGAATCCATATGGATCCACATGGCTGGTTTGTTACCCATCCCCAAGTGTGAATTGATATGAAGTGACACTCCCAGTGACAGAGACGAAAGATTAAGATAATTGACAATACTCACAAATTATACATATCATGACCATCAACTACAGTATCAAGAAAAAAGTCAGACCAACTATGTAAACAGATAAACAATGATAAACATACTTCAAGCACCAGCCAGTCACCCAGTCATCTTTCGATAGTTCCTCCATTTCCCCCGCCCCCGGCTGCGAAAACTCCGCCATCCCCGTGAAGTGCAACACCGCCGTGTCGAAGCAACTGCTGAGCTCCAGCCACAACTCCCGTCGCGCCTCCGGCCGCGGCCATAGGTGGGCGCAGACCGTGACTTCCACGCTGCGGGGAAGCTGCAACTGGTCCTGGAACCAGTGGAGGTCACCCGGTTCCGGCCAATCAAAGGTGGTCACCAAGATTGCTGTGGCTGTTCCAGAGGCATTCAGATCACCCAACGCGATCGCACCAGAATTGATGCGGCTGTCAACACCGGTGCGAGGATCTAAAATGGGAACTTCGAGAACACCCCACCTGGGCATTGGGACTTTGCCATGCTGAAACAATGTTCTTCCTCTGGAATCAGTTGCTCAATGTTGCTCATAAACCCTTCTCATCCCTTCTCTCTTCTTGTGTTTTTGTATTGCTGTTCCCTTTCCACTGTCATGTACAACCAACAGACAGCCAGCAGTGCTTGAAACCAGGCCTCCCCGGGTCCGACGCGCTATCAACCGCATCCACCTCTGCCTGCTCCTCTGGTGTCAGGAGGTCTTCTGGCAGCTCAACTTTTGACACCTCCATGCGATGGGGACCCTCCTGTACCCTCTGCCTATCTACACTAACGTATAGCAGCTATGGACAAGGAAAGTAGATGAGTGATCAGCTAGACATAATTAAACATTGGAGTTGTATTTTTTCCTATAACCATCTAAAATTACGAGAAGGTAACCTCCGAAAAAATGGGGTCCATAATTAATGGTAAATAGCAAACCAGACTGAAGTCTACTGTCCTCGAGGTTATAAATGAGTTTGCGTGATACCCATCACCCCAAGCGATGGCCATTTCAATTCAATCGGAAAAACGATAGGCCCAACCCCACCTGATTCAACAGGAAGTTCTCACCCTTGAACCAGCCAGAAGCATCCGCTGCACCGCTCATGCGAAAGGCGGCATTGACAGAGCGCAGGGTTTTGTAACTTGTTTGATGCGACTCTCTACATCTGTCAAATTTGAGAATGTTGCATCATGGTGCGTCAAACATCATCAAACCCTGTGCCCATGTCAACTTGATTGGAACACTGTGCTAGTTTTAATGTATCCGATGTATCCAAAAAAGTGGCGTTCTTGGCACTTAAGCACCCACTTTTGGGTATAATCAAGCCACACACAAAGACACGCAATCTTAGAAACACACGCTGACAAGATGACAAGATTCATAAAACCGTAAGGCGCATTCTAATTTTCAGATAATTTCAGACCTTGCTACCCGACAGGCAGGTCCTAAGGAGTACAGCACCCCATTTTGGGGTGCCCATCTGTGACCTTTGCATCTCAAAATGAAACGTTGCCTTCCACACCACACCCCCCCAACATCCCTTGTTTGGACGGCCATTTCAACTTCGGGAATATCCGCATAGAATGAGCAATGTATCATCCGAAGCCAGGTTTCAAACATTTTGAAACTGCATAACGAGTTACATCCACCATGTTTTGATTTCTTTTGAGGCATAGGCCAACTATGTAGCTGCGCTTTCCCACATCCAAACACTCAACCCTTTTGGAGTCGTTCACATCCCCAGGGCTCACCTCGATCCTTGCACAGCAACGATGGAGCCGACTCGGTGGTTCATCTCGGGGCGTGTCTCCAGACCCACCAACCTCGAAGCTGCCAATGGTTGGCAGTTTCATACAACAGCTCGGCCGCAAAAAGAGATGCAGCCCACACAAACCCAAATGCAGTCACGTAGAAAACTTTTGTGAAACAATTTATTTGAACAGTCAGTCTTGTACATGTTTTCCCTGTTAGCGTACCAGTGCACTGTAGAATGTGGAATGCCGAAGAGGGTGGATTGCAAAGTGTGGAGTGTAAAAGTGTAGAGTGTGGAGTGTACCTGGACCTTCAAACTCCTGCAAAATACCAGGCGTTTTGCACAATCAGGCGTTTAGCCAAATTAATAGTAATATCAGTCGTTCCCCAGAAAAACTAAGCGCAGTATGTTTTCCCATTCAACTCTCACCCCTCCTGTCCGCAAAGCCTTCCTGGCTCACTTGCCTTTGCCACCTTGAGTGGCACCCTGGATGGATGGCACCTTTTCTTCTTCAGCCGGGCTGCCAAGTGCTCATACGTTCAGGTTACCAAACTGCTGTCGGTATTTCCCCAAAACCTTTTGAAGACAACGCAGGGATTGGGAAAGACCCAGGCCAAAACAGCTCTTGCTGATAGCAGAGCACCGTCCTATAAAATCCTCGTCATTCCAGCAGCTTGCATTGATGGGATTAAGACACCAATTGGGGCTCGAATTTTGCTTGATTAATTCTAAGAACATATGCATTTTAGGTCTGATCCTGTACATCCGGAAACCCTGGCTGGCTTGCATCGATGCCAATTGTGAGAAACCTTCGCAAAATTTCCTTGCCCAGTCATGAGCTTCAACTTGTTCTCGATGGGTCAGCCAAAGACCAGTTGAATTGAGTTTTCGAAAAAATTTGTTGATAAGCTTCAAGCAAAAGAACATGATTTCCAGTTCATCATCGCCAGAAATATCCTGATCCCAGGGAAAGAAGTTACAAATCAATGAAACAGATATCTGTTGAACACATAGAAAGTTTTTGTTTGGAAGTTTAGCAATACCCCCACCTTGTCTTGGAAGAAATGTTCTAGCCATCCACAGCAAACAGCGGTGTCGAATCCCTTGCCCGCAATTGATGAGGGAAAATCCGTATTTCGAGTCATGTCCATTTTCAACTTAGACCAGTGATCACAGCAAGTCGGCCTGCGCTGTTGCGCACAGAAAGCTTGAAACTCCCCGTAGGCTCTTTCCAACTGAGCATCGAGAGAACCACGGCCAAAAAAGCCCTTCCTACATCCCATGACAATAGTGGAGGCACACCAATCAACTCCAAATCCCTTGATGTGAAAGCTGTGGGCACTATCAACCAAAATGCAGGATGCATCAACTCGGGTTCCACCAATCCTGCAAAGGGGCCCAATCATCATCCAGGAGTAACCCCATTCCTTTGTTCATAATATGTTGCTCAAAAGGATATATATATAACTACAAAGCTATATAGATATATAAGCAAAGGGTTGCTTATTTGAATTTTACTACTTCTACGACGACGGCGACAACCACGACTACGACTACGACTGCGACTCCGACGACGACGACGACTACTACTACTACCACCACCACTACTACTACTACCACTACTACTACTACTACTACTACCACCACCACCACCACCACCAACCCACCACCACCACCGCCGCCGCACCACCACCTGCACCACCACCACCACACCACCACCACCACCCACACCACACCCACCCACCACCACCACTGCCACTACCACCACCACCACCACCACGACTACTACTACTACTACTACTACTACTCTGCTACTACTACCCGGCAGTTTCATGCCCATGTCCGTGTATCTGGTTCATCACGTCGACTCCTCTGTTCAGTGTTTATTTTCTTGCGCAACATGCTGCGGTTGCACTTGTCACCTACCCACTAGCTTCTTAATTGTTCCTCACGACAGAGTGGTGTCGCCATATGTTGCCAATGATTTCAAACGATCTGCGGTCTTTTACTTCTGCAGTCAGACGCTTGTTAGTCCCTCCTGTTTTCCGGGGTCAGCAGCAGGGGCGGTAGCCCTTAAATAAACTAAGGGCTGCTTAATTGAAAAGGCGTGGTTTTCAAGAGATTTCACACCCAATAAAAAAGTATGGAAATCTCCAATGTAGTTAAACCTGTCCTCTGAACTGCACAAGTGGCATTTTCTGGTCGACGTGTAGCCGGTCTCCAATCGCCACGCCTGAGCTGGCTGAGGCCGAGATCAATACTACTCAGCCATGACGGTGGTGTTTGGGAACCTGGTGTTAGCATGGGGGCGGTTTGCGTTGGTATGGAATTGGGCCACTAAAAGCTTCCCAGGAAAAGGTAACCAATTGACTTCAATTAAAACAACATAGCAATGCCAAGGATCAGATCGCAAATACTTCCAGTCCCCTTTGCATCCCAACCAGACCAGAAATATAGTGGATGAAGGATCGCCAGGAACCACCTGAAGGGATGTCCAGAGCGTGATCACCATGTTGGGATTTATTGCCCCTATCACGCTTGTTATTGCATGTTATCTATTTTTGTTCAATCCAATGCCTGGTACCCCTCATTGAAAAGTTGAAGCATTTCATCAGTCCACGCTTGGTTGAGTTGTAATAGGGTCTTCTCGCCACTGAATGCTGAGGCTGAAATGCAGCAATAAAGGAGACGACTGCAAAAGGAATCCCTTAGTCACTTGGCTCTTTAGGTGGGAACATATACAGATATAAATAAATATATATATATATGTGGAAAGTTGCTCAACCCCCCAAAATAAACATATATAAAAACACTATTGATGCTGAAACCGGTGCTCCCTGAAATTGCCGTGTGGTCTGGTCCTAGAAACGAAATAACTGGCTGCCAGCTTTGGACCATAAATGGCACCCGACGGTGTGTGACACCTTCATCCCCGTGGGTCATAAAAGGAATGCACCGTGCCAATGGTTTTGACGACGAAAACACGCAGTGGTCTGGTTTGATGTCCCGGAAGCGGTTCCAAAATGTTTGTAGCATCATCTCCCACCCAGCTTTGTTAGAGCGACGGTGCCCACCAAGGAGGATACCAGGATGATGGGTGAAAATGTACTGGCACCATGAATGCATACTCAACACAGGCCAGTGAACCTTGACATCGTGAATACGTGGCCTTTTTTTGCGACAAGTGATACTAACGTAGTTCATCTCAATGTCAAGGGCTGCTCCCTCATTGTAAATGAGACGGGTCAAATTTCTGCAGTGGTTCTCGTGAGTGCTCTTTGCACACTTGGAGATTTTCCATAGCAAATCGTCTTTTCGTCCTGAGGCAAAGGACATGGCTGCACAAGAGGGTATACAAAGGTTGTTAAACAAATCTATCTGAAGTTAGTCACCCGATGTATAGTGACCGAGAGTCGGGATTTCCGAACACGGCAAATTCTTTGAGCAGTTGTCGTCACATGTTTGGCAGATTGAGCCTGGGCCACAGACTGAAGCAACACCATACGTATATAATACTCACCCATGTGTATGAGAAAGATTAAGTGTGTATATAAGCCAAGAAACACCACTAAAGTAGTCAACAAGCAGGTCCTGGGCTATCCGATCACATTCATCGCTGGACTCTGATGCAGTCCGCTTTTCACCTGCGGGTGCGGGTTTAAACCTCACTCACTCCACATGTGGCCAGCTTTGCTCAGGTGCCATTTGGGAAATCACCGCGCCTGCAAAAAGCTCTGGGCAACTGGACGGCATAAACAGACCTGGCAAATGGCTATGCTTAAGGGTGCCAGTGACACAAGGACAATCAGGTCATTGATCTCGCAGCTATGATGCAGAGTTTTTCTTCACTCGAGCGGATCCAAGCAGCAAACATGCGTATGCATGTTGCATCAGGTTGCCACACAAACGCCCTGGCTGCCAAAATTTCCTAGGTCAGACTGTAAACATGTTGGCAACATTTTGTTGGTCCTATACATGTCATTCTTATGCCATGGACATATGACAAAATTTGTCGGTCAATCCCTAGGAGAGCAGCCAGGGTATACAGCATAGTCCAACTCTACTTCTTAGTTTTCTTAGATTTCTTCTTGTCTTTGGAAGCTTTTGAAGGTTTTTTCCTCTTTGAGGGAACCACGGCAGGGGTCTCCTGCTCACTCTCCTCGTTCTCCTGCCCATCCTCGTCCGACCCAGGCTCCGATTTGGCAGGTCGCGCGGTGCGCTTGGCCTTGGGCTTCGGCTTAGCCTTTGGCTTGCAGTTCCTGGAGCTGCAATGAGAGGGATGGGGCAATATGGGTTGAAAATCGCCCGGTGGAAAAGATCAATGAAACACACGTAGGGCGCCTGCAACGGGTCATGCAGGAGTTGAACTTCATGTCCTTTTGGGTTGCGGCGATATATTGCTTGACAAGGGCTTCTTTTTCCGACCTCATCCATGCAAGATGCTTTACAGCGCTCATTGTAGTGCAGACTCCCAGCCATTCTCTAATTGACAGAGGCTGAGATCCCCACACAGTAGGGGGATGTTCGACAAACTTGCTCTGGGTGTTGACTAACTCAGAATAGCTCGACTCCAAATCCTTCCGGATGGCCTTCAAATTGTTGATAAGCCTTCGGTGGGCGGGCAGGCCGGTTGGTTTGTGGATATGGTACAAACAAAAATAAAGTCAACCAACTGAGATTGAAACTCTATATATATATATATGTATAAATGTATAATATATATATATATGTATAAATGTATAATATATATATAAATGCCTAACTGTGCATACATCTATCTATCTGTCTGTCTATCTATCTGTCTGTCTGTCTATCTATCTATCTACCTACCTAGCTATCTATCTATCTATCTATCCATCCATCCATCTATCTATCATTATCTATCTATCTGTCTATCTATCTATCTGTCTCTATGTATATATATATATATATGTGTGTGTGTGCGTTTATTCATTTATTATATGAGCTGTATATATGGTGTATTATCTCAACCCACTGGGGTTGAAAGCAAGCAGCCCAGCAATATTGCACAGGGTGGCATGGAGTAGCTCTAAAAGCAACCCAGGTGCGATCCAGCTCTGGTTGTCCCAAGTTCATTGAGTCTCTCCTAGGCTGAACCAATTTTTGGGTTCTGAACTGTTCATGCGGTTTGTCATGGCTGAGGTCGGAACTAGCATCTCATCTGCCCCATCTAGCTTCTTCCCCAAGATCTCAATGAAACCTGGAAGTTGGCCTCAGCTAAACACCGACCTATGGGATCACTTATGGAAACACAAGTTGTTCTTGCTTATTTCAATCCCTTCATCTACATGCAGAACAGTCACCAATCGGGTCATTCTGTTGGATGACCGGGAGCACGGGCTGCTTGGCATGACGTGAGGACGCCAACGACATCTGGCTGCGGTGGATATCTGCATCGGACTGCCTACGGCTGCTTGCAAGCAAGAAAGGGGCTATCCATCATGTGTCAGTGGTGCTTGGGACAAGGCCTAAAGAAAGATACCATGGTCCCAAGTGCAGTCAGGCTGCTCCGTAGGACCTCGAGATCCAACGCTAGCAATGTTGCTTTCAAGCATGGCTGGGACACCGCCCTGTCGAAAGGGAGCTGTGGTTATGACAGAGGGGATGAAATAGGAAGTGAACTAATATGTGATGCCTCATGTTTTTTGCAGAGAAGCCAAACGAACTGATTTCCTCGGTTTTTTGAATCTGCTGATCTTTTTTACTTCAGTACAAGGCACTAGTTGTCAAGAATCGGTAAGCACATGCAGGGATGTATATACAGATATTTGATATATATATATATATCAGTTGAAAGTATTTTTTCAAACCAGTCCATCCCCCCGGAACCAATTCCTCTCCTGGACCGTGGAAGATGTAGAAGCCTCATACTTTTCGTTTTTCTTCTCCTTGTTTTTGAACTCTTCGTCCAGTGGTAAACGCCATTCGTCCTCACCGTGAATAGGAGAGGTCCTGTGGACACCATTGGCTTTCGCCCAAGATTTGCTGTTGGAGATCATCTCGGTACTCCACCCACGTGCTTTCAAGTCGATCTCTGTGACATACTTGCCCCAAATCGAAGTCATTTCCTCCTTTTCGTACGTCTTCTTGACATTCATCTCAACTACAGACCAATCACCCCCTGATTGTTCTAGCAGCTTTGCGATTTTGTCACCTACAGCTGTCGAAGAAACTAACTGCTGGGTAAATGCTGGTCACTCGAATTGGTTTTTGAAAAATGTTCTAAGCAAAGATACTGCCACCAGGCGATTTGAAAATCTCAAGGGCTTGTGGACTAGCTTTGCACACACCATCCTTGTTTTCCGCAAAGTATCTTTTCATCCTCAGGTTGCACAGGCTAGAGACATCGCCTCACTACATACAGCGACACACGCACAAAAAAACTGCACATAATAGCGAAAAAGTGTCTTCCAGTAAAAGCCACTCTTGTAGTTTTGGGTCTTTGGGCGTGGAGTGGGAGGCTCGTTAAGCGTTTTTCTCTTCAGTGCTGCAAGTTCCTGATGCTCCTTGGGTTGGCTGGTTTGTGGATGCTGGGGCGGTTGCTTTGCTTGCTCACCTTCTGCTGGGGCATTGGCGGGTGGTACTTCGATGCTCTTTTCCGTAGCTTTGTCGGGGGTCTCCGTGCGACCATGTGTTTTACCATCTTTTGGAAAGGATTGCTTGCCATCTCCTGAGCTGCTTGGCATCTCATTTTGCTGGGGCTCCTTGTCTGTACTATCATGTTTTTCACCATCTTTGGTAAAGGATTGCTTGCCATCTCCTGAGCTGTTTGGTATCTCATTTTGCTGGGGCTCCTTCTCCTCAGCTACGGGCTGGATTGCCTTTTGTGGTGGAGTGGGTGGGGTAGGCGATTGGTTTTCCTTTGGTTGCGCGTTGTCTCGAACAGTCTCCTCAGGTGGACTTTGTTGGTGCGGGGCCGGCTTCAAGAAAAGTGCTTTGGGCAAGGGCGGCGAATGACATGCAGTACCGCGATCGGGCCATTTTTCACTGCTCCCGCATCCACCCCATCCGTCTTCTTCGGGTGGTGTTGGTGTGGTGATGTATGGGATGCTGCTTTGGGAATCTAGCCTTGTGGGAGGTGCGGCCGGGGTAACTGGTGTCTTTGGAGAGATGCTGTCTTGGGATTCCTGGGTGCGAAGTTCCACATCGGCAAGGTGTTGTCTAGGAAGGCCTGCTGCAAATTGACCGGCAGCAGTAGGTTCATGGAATAGGCCTGCGTGGCAAAAGTTTTTACTTGCAAATGATTATATAGAAACAAGCTTGATCTTGTTGTGTTTCTGCCTGACGAAATGCCGGGAGCCACACCAGATCCATCCCCAAGTTCAGCTTGCAGCGCTGCAATTTGCGCATTAGCTGCCTGAGCAAACAGATCACCCATTCAACACTATTGGGGAAGAGGTGCATGGGATTTGCGCATATCTTCAACATAGGTCCAAGTTCAGGGCTGCTATCTCCGCTTCGAGCTCGTTTATGGTCGCCATCGGTTGCTGAGAAGACACTACACCTAGACCTATCTCTAAGGTGTTGCTAGGGCGGATTTCTTTTGCCATCACCAGCCAATGAGCCTTAATATCACAAATCAATGTCCATGACGGCACTACTGTTTCCAAATGAAGAAAGGAGATGGTGTTCAACTCTTGTACCTGCTACGAAGTCACTTGCACAAGACCTTTTAGCCACTATCAGCCTCACATTTGTGGTAGAATACAAAAATTTAACCAAATTGCGTTGATTTCAAAACATCCAAAATTACCTAATTTTATCAGATTTTGGGATTTGCGGGCGTTTGCGGGTTTTTGCGGGCGTTTTGCGGATTTTTGCGGGCGTTTTGCGGGTAATTTTGGGCGCGGCTATGTGCATCTAAGGCCGTTTAAAGACATATACACCGGGGCAACCCACAGGTGTGTGGGAAAGCTATTCTTCCCACAGCTTTGCGAAATCATCGCTGCTCAGGCCAACCATGTCTTCGGCAGCAACTGGGGCTGGCACCTGGGCAAGACCAGGGGGCAGGACTGCTGTTGTGGTAGGGAGAAACGTGGTGGGGACAAGAGGATGGAAATCCACGTTAAAATATAAGGAACTCATGGTGCGTGTGAGTCTCTTCCTGCAGCTCTTGCTCAAATTGTTGAATGGCACTACTCCAGCTCTCTGGGATCGAAAGTGATGGAAGCTGTCTCAGGTACCAGTAGAGTTGCGGTAGTTTTGCATCCCACCATACATTTTCCATCGGCATTGTTGAAAATAGTTCTCTGTCTGTCAGCATTGGGTCCAAATGCTGTTTGTTGCGCAGGTCAGCCACAGGTGGCTGCTTAGCTACCAACGAAGCCACAGCCACCCCAAAGTCTTTGGGATAATGCCTGGAAAGCCGTCTTTGTAATGGCATGATAGCCAAAAATGTCCAACATAAACCACCCATAAATCTGCAAGACCCGTGTCCCAAGAATCCCTGAGGGTTGGACGCTGTCCCTTTCAATGCTTTCGTCCCTTGAAAGGACCGCTTGCCACTGGAGCTGATGGTTTTGCCTGGGTTCGTGCCGGTTGGCTGCAGTGTGCATGGGCAGCTTTGGAGCAACTGAGGAATAACAAGTGGACAAAACACAAAAAAACATCAAACAACATGGCCGAGTGTTGGGAGTCTAATTGAAACCCATCTCAAGCAGCCAAGTTCACGTGTTGTCTGAACCGTTGTTTTCTGTTTGCGAGTCGCAGCTGGCAAGACTCCCTTATCCTTAGCAAATTGCTGCTACCAGTAGAAAGAGTTTTGCTCTCTCATACAAATAGTTCAAAATAGAACGGGAACATACACCAAATCCCGGCAATTGGACCACACCACCGTCCTCTTAGCAGATGCCGACCCAAAGTGCATCATCCAAAAACTCATCCTCCATACCTGAGGCAAGGAAAGCAGGCAAAATTGAAATCGCCAATTTGAAAATTGGAAGGCTAAGAGTTGCAAAGGGTGTATCGT